AACCATCTGCCCTGAGGTCAGTGCTATGAAGGGACAGTAATAACCTCAGGCTCTGGATCAAAAGGGACTGCAGTTAAAAGGGAAAACCAACTCTTGTCTCTTGAAGAGGAGCACACACTGCAGAGCTGCTGTGCAGACATCCTGGGACAGATTCACAAGCTAGAGAGGGCTCCTATCAGCTTTAGCTGTGGCCTGCTCTATATATTTAAGGAATAAGTGCTGTATGCACAAGTGTTTTTCCCTCCCCATCTGAACAGCAAGAAGCAACTGAGAGCAAGGGAAGACCACGGTTGTTCCTACCTCTCATTTAGAGAAGTGCTGAGAGATCCCCTGTCCTGGTTTGGGCTGGAAGAGAGTTAATGTTTCTTCTTAGTAGCTAGAATAGTGCTGTGTTTTGGATTCAGTGTGGAGTTTGGTATGAGAAGAATTCTGATAACACACCGATGTTCTCAACTGTTGCTGAGATTTCAAGGACTCTCCATCTCCCATGTCCTGCCCGTGCGCAGGTACACAAGAAGCGGGGAGGGAGTAAAGCCAGAGCACAGACCCAAATTGTCCAGTGGAATATTCCATATCATGGAACTTCATGCTCAGTGTATAAAGGAAGGGTGGCTGGGAAGGGCTTCTCTCTCTCACTTCCAGGATTGCGATTGGGGAACCTTGAGATTTTGGGATCACGAGCTGGGAATGGGCTGGGTATTGGTCAGTAGGTGGTGAGTAATTGCATTGTGCATTGCCCGTTTATACTTTCTATTATTGTTATTGTTTTATTTTATTACCATTATTAAACTGTTTTGATCTCAACCTGTTAGTCTCCCTTTAGTCCTTCAATTCCCTCCCCTCTTCCCAGGCAAGGGAGGGTGGGTGAGCGGCTGTGTGGTGTTTGGCTGCTGACCAGGCTCAAACCAGGCCCCTTCTCCAGGATTTCATTATTCAGGCCAGAAAAAAAAGACACCTGTCACACTATTTCTTCTTCAAGCACAAATCAAACCAAACCCAATCCCAAACCAGAAAATTATCAGCACTTTAGAATTACTAGTTGTCTCATACCTTTCCCTGAGGAGTATGAGGGCTTTCCTTATACTATCCTCTATGAACCAAGGAAAAACTTTCCCAAGCTCTCCCAGGCAGCTGGCATTCAGCGTTTGTCAGCCCCAGAGCCACACAGCATTGCCTGAAGACAGAAAAAACAATGTTAGTGTAGGTAAGTAACGCCTGCTCTGTAAACCAGCTCTCCAGAGAGAAAATGGAAATAAAGGGATCGGTGAAGAGTCTGGTCTTTGAAGAGCTGAGATTAGGCAAAACTCCAGTAGAACGAGTCCTGCTTCAGATTCCCACTTGCAAGACCAGAGGCATGCTTAGATGATGCCCAGAAGAAGCAGGGGCAGATCAATCCCCTCTCCACGCCACCCCAGCTCAGCTCCAGGCACAGCACAACTGCTGGGGTTGATGAAGGGCTGCAGCCAGTGCAGTGAATCCCACCACCAAGCCAGGCTAATTTGGCTTGGTGGCCTGTGAGAAGTGAGTGTTGTGAAAAGCTGGTTGCGAGGCTGACCCTGGGGTGCACCGTGCCATGTGGGCACAAAACCATGGACACACCCCTCCATCACCTCCACGTCCCCACCTTGTACATGTGGGTCTTCATGCAGCTGGAAACATCTAGCCAAATCTCAGCCCTGTGAGATTTGTATACAGGGAAGCACCCAAATTGCTGAAAAAAAAAAAAAAATTCATCAAGACATTAAAATTATTAGCAATGAAAGATAAAGCATCTACAGATATTATTTACCTCCAAGTTGATGGAAAGGCTATCCTGATCATTTGGCCTCATTTGCTGTATTCCCAAGGAGGTACATAAGCTGCGCAATGCCCCAGTTCACAGGCTTACTGGGATTCCTGAGACAGCAGCCCTCTTTTCCACTACACTGACATCCAAAACCACACTTTTCCAATTGTAAGGACTTGCCTTTTTTTTTGTCTGAGGTTAGAAATGGGTTTCTTATTAGCCAGAGGATCATACCCTTGCCCTCACACTCTTCAGTCCACTCCAGACATTAAAGTAGTGTGCCACAGACCTCTAAAATCCTTAATTGTAGGCTTACCCACAGTCATTTAAAAAAGCAGGACACAGCACACAGCAAACAACTCAGGCAGAAGACCATCAATTTAAGCCACGGTTAAATGGGTTTTACCTTAGCCGTAGATAAGCCTGGTGAATAGTAGGAACCAGGGCATGGCCTTGTAGGAGACTGTGCAGGACTTTTTCTCAACATCGCTGCTGCACCACTACCACTTCCTGGCCCCCGCATCCTGCTGATGCGACAGAGTACGCCTTGAAGGAGACGGGTAGTCCCCGAAGAAACCACGGCGTCTGCCCGAAGAGCAAATAACAACGTCCCTGGCAGTGCCAGCCAGACTGCACCTGCGCGCGAGCCGGGTCGGGAGGAAATCGAGGCGAGGAAGATGTGCGGAGGCTGAAGGCACCGTGGGCCAACCCTCACCAGCGAGACCACCACGAACTCCTGGGCATGCGCGCATGGAGGTCCACGGGGCGGCACATGTTACAATGAGCTCCGTGGAAATGGGTGGACTTTTCCGGGAAATCCTGGGGACTGAGGTGATAAAAGGACTGTGTACTCTGTACTTGTTGGGGTGTGCGTGTGCATCGTTGCGAGTTGTTGTGTGCTGTCGTTGCGTACATGTGTGTTGGTGAGTGCAGTGTGTTGCTGTGTGCGCGTGCGTGTGTGTGCATGTGCGGGCTCCCAAAACATCTCTCTTGTGGACTTTGGCGGAGCTTGGAGCTTGGACCATCATCGATTGCACCGAGACTGAGTCAACGGGACATCACGGGCTCGTGGTGGTGGTGATTAATCTTGCCACATCTCTACCGCTTTCTAGCTTAGGGATTCTGACTTTCCTCTCCTTTTCTCCCTGTCCTATCGCTCTTATCAGTGGCTTGTTTAATAAAGTTCACAAGGTTATCCGGCATCTGACCTCGTTTGTGTCTTAATCTCACTCTTGGGATCTTTTAAGAACCCTCCCCGATACCGGATCGGGACAGGCCTATCACTGGTTTTGAAGAGGAACAACTGGGGAAACCTGGCCCAGCGTCTTTTTGGCTGTCCTGTGCACTGGCTGGTCTGCCTGGGAAAAGGCCAAACGCCTGGGCACATGTGTGTGAAGACTTACAGACTCTGAGCATGGGACTCTGAGGCCAGCACCCAGACACTCAGGTCTCTTGGACCCTACATGGCTTTGCCATACTGGGCATCAGGATCTCCTGGTGCAGCTGGTTCAGTCTGAGGTTCATCAGCTGGTCAAAAACACAAGCTTGGAAGGGGGAGCACGGTTGCACCGAAGTAATGTGATTTAATAAGAATATAGGACAGACTGCAGTGATGAAACAGGGTGCTCAGGCAGACAAGCATACCACTGAGCCCTCTCCTCCCTTTTCTTTCTGTTTTCCCATGCTTGTTCCTTCCCTGATCCTTCCCTTTCCCCTTCCTACGCCTACTGCCCTAAAGAACTTGTATATAGGTTCATACAGTCCCTAGGTTTTGCTCTGTGCCATCCCCAAATTCTCCTCCCTCTACATCTCACCTTAAGCTTCATGACATGGACAGGAGAGATTGTTGACACACTGTGGGATATACTGAGCAGGAAAGGGAGTGGGAACATTTTGTGCCACGGTTGGTTGCTGCCTCCCATCTGATCAGCCAAGATTGGTTTTTGGAAGTGAAATGCATATTGAACTGAGGACAAGGAGACATGTCCAGCAGAGGGTACCATGGTGTTACAAGTCACCATAAGCTTGTTCCTGATCAGGGCAAGCTCACTCCTGAGCACTGCAAAAAGTATCACTTGAGCTGGGCAAAACAGGGGTCAAGGCAAGGTCCACGACCCCATCTGACTTCCATTGCCTGAGACACGTCTAAATGCAGGGAGCCATCATCCCCAGCTTGATATTGTTGGGTTGGGTTGGGTTGGGTTAGGGTTAGGGTTAGGGTTAGGGTTAGGGTTAGGGTTAGGGTTAGGGTTAGGGTTAGGGAAGACATGTCCCAGGGACACAGTGCTTAAATGGGGTCTCAGAAATCCCACTAGATTTGAACAGATGCAGAATAAATAGCTTGTAGCCAAAAAAAGCAGATTACAACAGAAGATACAGAAATGATTGTGTATAACTACAAAACTGGTTTATGCAGCTGGTGCCTTTCTTAGGCCAGCAGATGTGAGCAAGGTTAAAATGCGGGTTGAAGGGAAGGGTGCCTCACAAAATTAAGGGCATGTTAGCCCACAGAGCGCATGAGTGAGGCCAAGCAAAGAGGCAGTGCCTTGCTGAAAGCAAGGGATCAGGCACGGAAGATTAATTTTGCACTGCCAAAAACTGCAAGCTCTGTGGACAACTGTGTGTGGGAAGAAGCAGAGCAGGTGAGGTGGCATGGGAGGCTCTCAAGGACACAGGCTACATCCAGAACTACTAGCTTCTGGCTCTGAAGAAGGAAAGGTTAAGAGGCCATGATGGACTGTCCAAACATGCCATAGATAGCAAACTGTCTTGGAATATGATTCAGGCACCTGTGGCTTGGAAGGACTTTGTCCCTAGCAGCACATGGGGGAACTGAGGTGTACAACAAATGTCTCCAGAGCTGCTGTTCCCAGGTACTGAGCATCAACCAGGATAGTCAACTCAGGGTAGCATGGGAAACAGAATTCTCAAGCTGGAGATGCAAAGCGCTCAGCTGCTGGTGAGAAGGGGAAGGTGACCAGCATGCACACTTGAGTGTCTTCAGTACTGACTGAAGGAGGTTGGATCACAGGTGGGGGCAAATGGGAGGATCTGAGCATGCGTGGAAGAGAATGAACATAGAATAAGTGTGGATGGAGAGGAATAAAGGTGATCTGTGGGGCTGGGAGGGGGAGTGAAGGAAACTAAGGGTGTGTGGAGGGGAAGGGGACAAACCTAAGGGCACAAGGGGCTGACCTGGACACGTTCCGCACTCGGAAACTTCCTTTCCTGCCTGCAAATGTGCCTTCCTCACTCCCGTGCTTCCATTTTCTGCACTCAAACACCCGAAGGACATGACGGCCCCTCCAGACTCCCCTGACGCCGCCGGACAGCCAAACCCTCCCTCCCCTTCCCGGACACCTCCGGGACGCCTCGTTCTGCTCCCCAAAGCTCCGGCTCGCTTCCCCGCCTCCCGCCCCGGTCCCTCCCGCGCCCGGGCAGCCCCCCCCGCATCTCCCCCGCCCCGCCCCGCCCCTCTCGCCGCGGCTGCCGCGGGGTGCGGGCCGGGGGGGCCGCGCCGGGGCCATGCTGGGCAAGGACTACATGCTGGCCATCGTCCTCGTCAACTGCGACGGTCAGCCGCGCCGGGGTGCCTGGGCTGCAGGCCGGGGTGTGGGGGGGTGCGGTGCCGGTGTTGGGGTGCCGTGCGGGGGGTGCCGGGGTGGTGCAGGGCCGAGAGCGGGGTGCGGTGCCGGGGTGCGGTGCCGGTGCCAGGGTATGGAGGGGGTGCAGGGGGAGGGGGGGGAGCCGTGCCGGGGTGCGGTGCCGGTGCCAGGATGTGGGGGAGGTGCGGAGGGGGTGGGGGGTGCGGTGCCGGGGGGCGGTGCCGGGGCCGGGATGCGGGGGGGCGCGGTGCCGGGGTGCGGTGCCGATGTGAGGGGGGGGATGCGGGGGGGTGCGGGGGGGTGCGGGGCCGGGGTGCGGTGCCGGGGTGCGGTGCCGGGGTGCGGTGCCGGGGTGCGGTGCCGATGTGAGGGGGGGGATGCGGGGGGGTGCGGGGGGGTGCGGGGGGGTGCGGTGCCGGGGTGCGGTGCCGATGTGAGGGGGGGGTGCGGGGCCGGGGTGCGGGGCCGGGGTGCGGTGCCGGGGTGCGGTGCCGATGTGAGGGGGGGGATGCGGGGGGGTGCGGGGGGGTGCGGTGCCGGGGTGCGGTGCCGATGTGAGGGGGGGGTGCGGGGCCGGGGTGCGGGGGGGTGCGGGGCCGGGGTGCGGTGCCGGGGTGCGGTGCCGATGTGAGGGGGGGATGCGGGGGGGGTGCGGGGGGGTGCGGGGCCGGGGTGCGGGGGGGTGCGGGGCCGGGCCCCGCGGGCCGGAGCGGCGGCCGCGCCCCGGCGCTGTCCGCGGTGCTGAGCGGGGCCCGCGGCCGCCTGCGCTGGGGGCGGCCCCGCGCCGTCTCCCCGCCCCTCCCAAGGTCGCGGGGGGCACCCGAACAGCCCTGTACCCACCCTTTCGCGAGTCGGGGGCCCCGCGGGACGTGGGAGGCGGAGTGGCGGACCACCGCACAGCGCCCGGCTCCCCGGCAGCGCAGCTCCGCGGGATGAGCAGCCAAGAAGGGTGTGCCGAGCCCTGCGGATTTTGGGCCGCATTCCGAGGAGCAAAGATTCCTGCTGTGCTGCACCACGGGCTCATTTCCGTGACCTCCCCAGGGCTTGGGGTGCAAGGAGGAGGCGGTTAATCCCCCTTTCCTAGCTGCAACCCTCCAAGGGTGCTTTCTTCCTCCTAGGCTCCAGGGGTCTGTACCCAAACCCCCTTTCCCTGGCCAAGCTGGGAAGAAACTGGTCTCTGGCATTCTGGGGTGTGGGCAGAGGGCTTGGGACCACATGCTGGCAGGGGGAGCTCTGGGCTGGCATCCCTGGGCTCTGCCTGGGCACCCCTGTAGGGTGCCTTCCTTGGCAGGCTCAGGCTGCCTGTACTCTGTGCCCCTGTCAGGGTCACCCCATCCCTCCAGGCACCAGTCAGGCAGCTGCCTGCACTGGTTGCTTGCCTGGGGTCTGCCACTACTGCAGGTCCTCTGGCACCTCACCAAGCCTGCCCTCGACATGCTTCTTTCCTGGGCCATGTGCCCAGCTGCGCACCCAGAGGACACTGCAGGACCCTTTCACTACTGGGTGAAGCTGCTCACTTCTCAGGGTGCCCTGCAGCTGGGGGACCTTCCCCTGCCCCATCCCACACACTCTCCCTCTGCACAGACAACCTCTGGAGTGATCACAGCCTGGAAACAGACCCCGACCTCCCCCCAGGCTGGAGGAAAATCCGTGACTCTCTGGGCACCTACTACTGGCATGTGCCAACTGGCACAACGCAGTGGCAGCACCCCGCATGCACCACCAGCCCAGGAGGGCACCCGGAGTTTGATGGAGAGGAGAGACTCCCAGGAATGGTATGGGCTGTGGACAGGGAGGGGAGGGCTGCTGTTGGATTCCATCCCCTGGCAGGAGCCTGCTGAAGGGTCCTCTGGACATTGCTGGTCCAGCCTCCCCTTGGACCAGGCCTGTCTCGGTGACCCCCAGACTCCTGCTCAGCCCATTCCTGGCCAGGATTAAATCCTTTGAAAGACTCCAGCAGACCCTATGTTGGCCTCATCCTGGCTACATGGAATGCCCACAAGCTGAGGCGACAATGCTGTCCTGAGAGGGAGGGGTCCTACCTGGTGCTTCCTGACAGCCTCTCTTGCTGCCCACACCCCTTTCTTCTTTCTCAGGGCTGCCAGGCCCCTGTGGCGAAGCACTCAGCAAAGGACAGGCCCATTCCCAGCCCCATGGCTTCACTGTCCCGGAGGTAGGGCTGCCCATGTGCTCTGCTGGCTTGTGGGGCACAACTGACCCTTCACCACTACTGGGTACTGGGCCCCAGTGCTCCCCCACCAGAACAGCACCACATGTTGGAGCCAGCAGGATCACACTGGTCCTCTGTGGGATGCTTCCCCGCTGGTGGCACAGGGGTCTGCCAGTGTCAGGGCATCCTGGCGCTTCCCTGGGTGCCCCAGGTCCATGCTGCCTAAGTGGGAGCCATCCCTCATTGCCTTGTACCTCTGCAGGGCCTCACTACCCTGGCACGAAGATGACTTCCAGCAGCAGAGCACAGAGCCTGGCTCCAAGGTACTGCGCGCAGGGCTTTCACTGCAGCATTGTGGGCTGGGGCTGGCAGAGGATGAGGCTGGCAGGGACAGGGATGGGAGCAAGAGCAAGGGTGGCCATGCCAGAACGGGGAGGGGCACAGGACAGGGGTGGCTGTGCTGGCCAGGCACTGAAGGCCCATGTGTCTTTGCTCAGTGCTTTGCTGTGCGCTCGCTGGGCTGGGTGGAGATTCCTGAGGAGGACTTGGCACCTGGCAAGAGCAGCATTGCCGTCAACAACTGCATCCAGCAGCTCTCCAACAGCAAGGGCCAGGGCTCTGTGGAGAACGGGGGCCAGGTGAGAGCCTGGGATGGTGCTGCCAGGCAGGGTCCCACACCGGGGCCACTGCTGCTGAGGCTGACTGTCCCCACTGACAGGGACTGTGCCTGGCAGGGCAGGGACCAGTGCTAGTGACGGAGCCAACTCTCTCCAGATAGGGCATCCATGCAGTGGTCTCAAGCATGGGGTCTGACAGGGCTGTTCCTTGGGGACAGTTGCCAGGGGGGGCCTGGGTGGGCTGTCCCCACACACAGAAATGGTACCTGGGGAGGGCTGTGGGGGCAGACAGGGCTGTCCCCACACTTGGGGCTGAGGAGGCTGGGGGTGTGGGAGTGTCCCTACGTGTGGGCTGGGTGCTGGCTGTGCCCAGGCCATCTGCCAGGATGAGGGAGCCACTAACCCTCTGCAGGGCCAGGACCTGGTGATGATCCTGAAGAAGGACACCATGAGCCTCATGGACCCTCTCGACCACAGTCTCATCCACCGCCAGCCCATCCTCAACATCCGTGTCTGGGGCGTTGGCTGCAACAATGGCAGGTGCCAGGGGCCGGGGCAGAGCCAGGGGCTGGGGGGGGGCTCTGCCTACTGAGAGGGGGAAGGCACCCCAGCAATAACATGTCCCCTCTCCTCCCTGCCTGGCTGCCACCACGGCTGCAGGGACAGGTAAGAGGTCGCAGGGCTGGGGAACAGCGGGGCAGGGTGGGGGGAAGCTGCATCTGCTGAGGTCTCACTGTCTTGCTCATGGCCTCACAGAGACTTCGCCTTTGTAGCCAGTGACAAGGACACCTGTGTCCTCAAGTGTCACGTCTTCCACTGCAACGTGCCCGCCAAGGGAATTGCCAAGGCCCTGCATGAGATGTGCTCCAAGGTGGGAGTCAGGGGCCCCGGCGGGTGTGGGCATTGCCCAGGGGTCTTGGGGATGAGGGTGGGCACCGGGAGCCCTGTCTCTTGCAGATCATGGCCGAGCGAGCCATAACAAGCAGCAGGCTGCCGCACAGTGCCACGCTGGAGCCTGTCTCCACCGAGGACCTGCCACTGCAAGGTACCGTCCCCCCAGCGCTGCTGGCTGTTCCCCCCGCCCACAGTTTGCCCCTGGGTGGCAGGATGCCCAGCCGACAGAGCCCTTTGGCCTGCCTGGCTGTGTCCCCAGCATCCTTGGGGACAGAATGTGTCACACGGAGGGTCTCCCCCCACCTCTGCTGTCCTGGCAGTGGATATCCTGGAAGCGGTGAGGCAGTCGGTGCAGACCTACGAGGCGCTGTACATTGGCAGCCTGCCCGTGCCCAGGGCCATGGGTAAGCACTGCTGGCCCCACTGCGGCTGCGGGACGCCCAAGACCCCCCTGCCGCGGGGTGGCTGAGCAGCTGTGTCCCAGTGCAGGGCAGTCCCTGCCTGTGGGGCCGGCTGGCAGCACCCTGCCTGAACCCTGCCCGCGGGCTGGGGCGCGGGCCGATCGGATGGGGTCCTCTGCTCCCCAGGGATGGATGTGCTGAACGAGGCAATTGAGAAGCTGACGAAGGGACCCGGGCGGGAGTGCTGGACACCCGCCCTCATCCACGTGTCTGACACGGCTATGAGGGCGCACCCTGTGCAGGTGGGGAGGGGCACGGGGGGGCTCCGGCCAAGGCAGGCACCCTGCTGCCACAGGAGTGGGGCAGGCAAACCCCCTGGGGGGGGCCCGGCCTCCTGGCAGAGCAAACCGGGGGGGGGGGGGGGGGTGGCGGGGCTGCCTGGGGTGCGGTCAGGGGTGGATGGGCCCATGGAGGTCCCCGCAGGAGGACGAGAATGCGGCACCCATCTGGGAGTGCCAGGTGCGCTATGTGACCTTCCTGGGCGTGGGCCGGGACGCCCACACCTTCGCACTCATCGTGGACGCGGGGCGGCGCTTCCAGTGCACGGCCTTCTGGTGCGAGCCCGACGCCGGCGCCATCTCGGAGGCAGCACAGGCCGCCTGCGTGGTGAGTGGGAGTGGGGCGTCCCCTGACCCCTGCGGCTCCCCAGCCCTCCGGGGACCCCCACTGGAAGAGCCGCGGGCTGGGGGACAGGGCGGCGGCAGCAGGGAGCTGACCCACGGGGCTGTGCCCGGACCCACCGCCGCGGCACTGACCCTGGGGCCCCACGGTGTTTGCCACGCGGTTCGCCCACGCCGTGGCCGCTCCCCGCCCGCCTTGTCCCCGCAGGTGCAGTACCAGAAGTGCCTGGCGGCCGCCGTGCCGGGGCCGAAGGCGAAGGGCGCGGCGGGGCGGGGCCGAGCTGGGCTGGCGCCCGCGGGGGGCGGGGCGTGCGGGGCCAGCGGGGCGAGCAAGGCGGGCGGCGGGGGGGCGGGGCCCGGCGCGCGCAGGCCAGGGCTCCGCCCCCTCCTGGCGGCCGCTCGCCTCCGGCGCGCGCTCCTCCACACGCCGTAGGGGCGGGGCCGGGGGCGGGGCCCGGGGACGCCCCGCCTCCCGCTCCGCCCCCGGGCTCCGCGGCGGGGCGGGGGCGCGGGAAGCCCCGCCCCTTCCCCCCGCTCTCCCCCCCCCCCCCCGCCCCGCCCCGCCGGCCGGAAGGGGCGGGGGCGGGGCGTGACGTGGCGGGATGGCGGAGCTCTACGTGAAGCCGGGTGAGGAGGTGCGGGTAGGGTGGGGGCAAACTTCCGGTCCGGCGGGGAGTTGGGGGGCCCCGGGGGGGTGGGGGAAGCGGGGTCCCGGCGCGGGGAGCCCCGGGGGGGGATGCGGGGGTTTGGAGCGGGAGAGCCGGGGGGGCCGTGTGTGGGTGTGGGGAGCCCCGGGCAGGCAGTGGCGGAGGAGCAGGAGCCCCATCCCGGGTGCCGGGCCCCGGGTGCCCCGTGTCCGCGGGGGGGCCGCCCCGCTGCTCCGCAGGGTCTCACCGCGCCGTTTGCTGCCGCAGGGAACCAGGAACGTGGCTGGAACGACCCCCCCCAGTTCTCTTACGGGCTGCAGGCGCAGGCTGGGGGGCTCGGGCGAAGCTCGCTGACCCGCCGGGCCCCCCCTCCACCCGCGGGAACCCCTCCAGGTCAGCACCCGCAAAGCCCCCGGCCCGTCCCGCCTCACCCCCGGCCCGACCCGGGGCTGCTCCCGGGGCCCGGGGGGCTGGCGGCACCCTGGGGGTCTCTGCCCCCCCCCCCCGCGGGTCCGGGTCTCTTCCCCCTGCCCGGATCCGGTGGGGACTGCAGCTCGGCCGCGGCGCGGGGGGTAGCTCCCCCAGCTCCGTGGGGGTGCAGAGGTTGGGCAGCACCGGCGCAGCAATGGCAGCCCCCCCCCCCCCCTGCAGGCGGGGGAGGGCAGGGGGCCCCTGCTGGAGGGGGGTGAAGGTGCAGTGTCTGGCACCTGGCAGCCCAGGTGCTAGGCTGAGGGGACTCTGCGCTGGTGCTTCTCCCCTACAGGTGCTCCCACAGACCCGGCCCGTACCCCTCCTGCCGCCACTGGCTCCCCAGGGCCACCCCCCCGAGCACTGGGGCCACCCCCCCTCGGGCCCATCAGCCCGGGCCCCTGGGCAGAGCGAAGGCGGCCAAGCACTGCAGCGTGCCTGGAGGAGCGGAGCCCGCGGGAGTGTGGCGTGCAGGCTGACGCGGTCCTTGCCCCGCTGAAGGAGGCCCTTGATGCCTGCCGCCCCACTGTGCAGGTGAGGCCCAGGCAGCTTCCTCCACCTCTGCCCCACGCTGCGGGGGGCAGCAGGGGCCTGCTCCCAGGCTGGCTGTCAGAGAGGAGAGCCACCCCTGCCCCGGGGACTCGCAGAGCTGGTGGGGGGCAAGCCCCCCCCCCCCCCCCCCCCCCCGCAGCTCACTTCTGCTTCCAGAAACAAGTGTGTGAGGACATTCGGCGGCGGCTGACAGTGCTGGGGGATGCGTGGGCTCAGGGGAAGCTGTCGGCCCCAGTGAGGAAGAGGATGAGCCTCCTGGTGCAAGGTGGGGGGCAATGGGGGGGGGCTGCATCTGGGCCATTGGCAGGCCTGGGGGCGGGGGGTGCCTCCAGAACACTGACCCCCCCACCCTTGACGGGTTCCCTGTTCTTGGCAGAGCTGCAGCAACAGCACTGGGATGCCGCTGACGAGATCCACCGCTCGCTCATGGTGGACCATGTGAATGAGGTGAGCCAGTGGCTGGTGGGCGTCAAGCGCCTGATCGCGGAGGTGAGGAACCTGCCTGCCGCAGCAAGTCATGGCAACACCGTGGCCAGTCCTGGCCAGGAGGATCCCTGACACCGGGAACAGGGGCTGCGGGCCCTGAGCAGGGCAGCACATGTCCAGGGCCAGCGGCAGAAGGGTCCCTGCTGCCCCAGGGGCTCTGGGCACCTCCTCTGCCTCCCACGCGTCACCCAGGAAAAGGGAATTTTAATCATTGTGACATTTTAGTGGCGATTCACTACATGATGTTTAATAAACGGCACTAACCTGCCCCTTGCCCCAGCCTGCCCTGGGGTTCTGGCACTGGACGGGTCCTGGTTCTCTCCCAGGAACAGCAGGAGACTGGACTGCTGGGTGAGGCCAGGGCAGCTTCAGGCTTGGCCAAGGCTCTTGTGCCCTGGCAGCGAATTCCCCAGCCCACAAGACACAAAGGTAAGGAAGTCCCCTAGCAGCACCCCCACTATCACCCAGGTCAAGCGGGCAGCAGTGTTTCCCTGCTGCAGTGGTTGGTAAAGCCTGGCCCCCTCCAGCCTTATCCTTTGGCAGTGGCAGGAGTGAACCCACAGCAGCAGGAGGAGACTGCTGCCACTGAGGAGCAGTAGGCTGGCTGGGGAGGCTGACCTGCCCGCCCCCAAGCAGCCTGGCAGCACCAGGGTTTGTGCTGCAGCCTGTGCTCTCATCTGGGCTCCTACCTGTCCTGGCACAGCTCAGACCCAAGTGACCTTAGTGCCCTCAGGGACAGGGAGGTGCAGGGAAAAACATCCCAGCACTAGTGATGTCCACCAGGTTGGGTAAGCCCAGGTGTTAGTGTTTACCCCAGCCAGCAAGCAGAGTGTACTGTGCTGCTCCCTCCTGTGCTCGCCTCACCAGCTGCAGGCTGCCTGTGGCACCCCGAGCCTCGGAGCAGACCATGAGGCCCCGTGTTCATCACCTCCAGCCTGCAGGGTCTTGGTGGAAGAGGGAGAGATCCTCTGCATTCTCCCAGGGTTCCTGGTGCTGCTCAGCTCCTCTTAGCTCCCCTCCCCAGGCTCTGAGGACCCAGCTGAGCCCTAACAGAGATTCACCAGGGCAGCACAGGGGTTTCATGGTGTTTATTCATCAAGCATGAGCTCCTAGGCAATTGCACCAGCCAGTTGTGCTAGAGCCTGAAGTGTCACATGTCCATCCCCAGCATCAGAGAGGGCTGCAGCCAGCTGGTCGTGGTGCCAGCACCTCCACGAGGCCCAGGAACAGGCCCAGCCGTGGCCTGCAGACAGGGAGCTGGAAACTCAGATGTCCATCTCAAACTGGTCTTGATCTGCAATGGTAGAGAGGGATACAGGGCCAGGGTTAGGATGGGGCTGCCCTGGGAGAAACGTGCAGAGGGGACAGATAGCTGGAACCAGGATCTCCTCTTGCCTTTGTGGCTAGGCAGGAGCCCCACGCCCCAGGGCAGCATGCAGCCAGGGGCTGCGTGCCTGGCCTGCTCACCTGGCATGGCTTCTTTGCTCTCATTCTGCTCCTTGAGCTCCTCCAGCTTGACGAGGCTGGACTGGGCCAGGGATGTGACACCGGGGATCTGGGGCAGGCAGCAGGGAGGGGTCCTGGCCACGGGTGAATTCTTGCACTCCAGCAGGAACTTGCGGTCGTAGATGATGCGGGTACCTGCCAAAAGCAGGGGTCTGTCAGGCACTGCTGGCCCCTGGCTGCCCCCATCTCTGAGCACCACAGCCTAAGCCTGGAGCAGGGAGTGGGACCCCGTGCTTGGACGTGGCCCAGGGACACGGCTGGCTCTGGAGCCACTGTGGGGCTTCCCACATGGCAGACACACCCATCTTGCCCAGCAGCTCTTCCCCACATCTTTCCTCCCCTTGAGGCTCCTGAAGCTCTGCCAGGGCACAGCGCAGTGGGGTCAGCCTTGATGCAGGTTCCCTGTGGCAGCTGACACCACAGCTACCTGTGCTGCCTGGAAGGCAGGGCCAGCCCTGGGGCACTCAGCACCCAGCCCAAGCCTGACAGCCAGGCAGCAGGCAGGTCCCCAGCACACCCTGCCGAGGTGGCTGGCTCAGGGGCGGCTCCCTGCAGCTATCAAACAGCAAATGCTAGGTGCCACCCTGATGGCACCCTGGGGAGCTGTACCCGGGGACCTGTTCCCACCAGCTCAGCCAGCGAGCCACCCTGCTGTGCTCTGCATGAAGACAACGTGCTGGGTTTCATGGGACACCTCATCCAGTGTGCTAGCCTCCTGGGTGTACAGCCCCGTGGCAGTGCCAGCCTGCGTGCCACATCTGCTGCCCTGCACCAGGTTTGGGCCTGCCTTCCCCTGCAGCCCAGCACCAGTCCCTTGCCATGCTCCGGCAGCGAGCCCAGCGCCCCTGTGCAGCTGGGCCCTTCCTGGCACCATAGGCATGTTGTGCAACCCGTGCCTGCTGCGGCCCCGCCTGGCTCCCCAGCCCCAGATAAGGTTATCAGAGGCACACAATGGAGTCAGCGCCCACAGGGTGGGTGCCTGAGGCTCAACTGAAACATGCCCAGCTCAGGAGAGAGCACACGCTACCCTGAGGACAAACAGCAAAGAAAGAGACCCGCTTGACAGCTGAGCCAGGGTCTTTGGCAGGGGGTTGGAAGAGGGGCAAGAGGGCAGGCCCGGGGTACCTCTGCAGGGAGCTGTGCCACCCACTACCTTCCCACGAATCTGGTGAACTTGGGTGGGAGCAGACTTCTTGTGCTAGCCCCCTGCACCTCCCCCACCTCCAGCCAGCTGTGCCCAGGCACGACCTACTCCTGAGGGACCAGTGCTGCACCTACCACCTCCGCGACACTGCCGGCAGCCCGCTCCCCAGCAGTGCAAGCACCAGGCACTGCCTCTGCCCGCTCCCCCAGGCACCCCTGGGCAGCAACAGCCCTAACTTTTAGCAGTATCTTCCTACAAAGCTTTAGGGTTCCCTTTTCCACTCCAGCCCTGGGCTGCCAGGGAAGCAACCGCCCCATGGGCCTGCCTGGATCTGGTGCCCAGGGCAGATACCCATGCCCCCAAGGGCCAAGCTGCAAGGTGGAAAGCCCAGGAAAGGACCTGCTGAGGAAACAGCTGCCTAAATTTGGCAGAGATGGGGTGGCTGAGGCCACCGTTCCATTCAAGGGACAACCCCATCCCCATGCTGGGTCTTACCCCCCGGTGTGGTAGAGTAGACTGTGCCGCTGGGCGTGGAGCTGTAGCCCTCTGGGGTGGGGAGACGGCCGCTCCCCGGGATGGGGCAGGAGGAGGTGGCTGTGCCTGTTGCAGCCATGGAGCCCGGGTGGGTGGAGCGAGACCCAAGGCCCTCGCCCATCCGCCCCACCCCTGCCACTCACTGGAGGAGCACACACCTATCGCACTACAATACCACTTGTTTTCGATACAATTACTATTAACACGAGTGTTTCTCCTTTAGTGTTTACACTATCAGGGGGGCAGCAGCAGTTCAATGGTTGTTTTGCACTTCCTCCTCAAATACTAGGAATTCTATTGGAAGCTATCATCCAGTAGTATTTTCTGAGGTTTATTTGCCTGCAGTACTTGGATATTGCCTGTGCATTTTGGGTTTTCAGTACTCCTTCCTCATGCTTTTCCTGGAGAAATTCTGCTGCTGCATGTATGGATTTGCCTGAAGGTAGAAGAAGGTGGGGAAGTCTCCATCTAGGCTAAGACACCACTGAAACCGGTCCATTAGATTGGACACTATGTGCACTGTAGTTACCTGCTTGAGGAATGGACCAAATATTCAGTGTAGTTACTGCATCAACACTGAGCAAAAGCAGAAATAAGCATAGTCCAAGTGCAGAAAGTGGAGAAATTCTGCACCTGGGTAGAGAATGAACATTCATCTTAAGCAGTATGCAAAAATCCCCTTCTTCCTCATGGAA